GACGGACACGTGTCGTAGTTCTTAGAAATTCGTGATAACTCAAATTGAAATGTCTTCAGTCGTTATCGTGCTTAAACAAATACGGACGACTCGTAAATTATTTTCGACGTAAAACCTGTATAGACATCTTAAGCATAGACGGATACGTGTCGTAAGCGACCGTCGCGGGTAGAGTGTCGAATCCTTTATAACGTCACACGGTTATCAGATTCGATTCATTCATCCGACAGCCACAGGGTCATTTAACACACACTGTTCGAACAATGTTTACCCTTATTGACCCTTTGGCGAAAACAAAAGTTACCCCATACAGTGCACTAATGGTCTGGTGGCTAAAGTGTGAATATAATACACGTATATTGTATTTATATTTTATTTATATACATACATTTCTTCATATGTATATACAATATATACACATATTATGTACAGCGTACATAAATATAAATATACAATATACATAAAATATATTATTATTTGTGTACTACGATACTATTTTATTTTACCATTAACTAGAATGAAAAAACATAAGAACTTCCTTAAAACACATTTTTCCTTTCTCACAATTATAACCGCGTATGGTTTAATGTGAAAATAAATAACTTTGTTTATATACCGAAAAATTAGTGATATAAATTTAAACGAGAACAGCGCTTTTTTCCTTCAGTTGCTCACCAATGCAATTAGTGCAATTAAAATTACTAAAATGGTAACATTTGTGGAATCTGCAAGTGTCCTTTTTACATTTTTATTTAGAATTAATTAATTATCAAACATAACCTCGATTCACAATAATTAACTTATATTTTGTAATGCATAAATAATATGGCGTAAATATGTAATTGAAATATACTAATGTTTAATAACTAACTACCCATTGCGTTCATAATTAATAACTAAAACCCGTGCAGTTGTCCATAATATGTTTGTCCCATGCCTATTAGTTACACATCGACGAATATTATCACACGTATTTAATTATGAAATATATCTTGCCCACGTCTTTTGATTATCATTGATAATGTTTTACAATTCACGTAAATAATAAGTGTACAATGAGTTATCCATATATTATATTGATTACCAGTTCAGGGGAATCATATAGGTATATGGTACAATGGTCACTCATTTTTAAGCGGTGGATAGTACCTACGGTATACTATGTAGTTGTGGTGAAGTTTCGTTAGGGCACTTATAGTTAGAAATGAGAAATCTAAATTTGAGGTGAATGTAAATTTAATTTAAATAATTAGTGAAAATAAAGACTTTCGAATAAAAACAACGAAGAATTGAAATAATAATTTATTTAGTTGAATAAAACGGTCCGAACCTCAATGGTACAGATCATTTAAGAACAATTAGGTGCAAAATAAATACAATATTCAATAAATAAATATCTTATATAATACGCAATTTACAAGAATCTAAAAAAAAATAATTGTATTAAAATTGATAGGCAAACCCAGCATTACATATAAACGTTGTTCGAGTGGGTATTTAATTTATTAAATCCCCTTACCGAGGAGAAGAAAAAAAATCAACTCTCGTTAAAAGTTTATTGCATAGAGCCACAGTCTTAGGAATATGTGAGTTTTTTTTAAATAGTTTGTGGTACGCACTAGAACATAAAAAATTGATGTAGAATGGTTATTGTATGCTGAAATGTTAAAGGGAAATACAATTTAAAAGATCAGGAGCAACGACGACACCATTTATTAGCTTTTAAATAAAAACTATCAGCTATATTTTTATGTCTGAAAGATGGAATGTTTAAAGAAGACTTAATTTGTGTATAATTATGATTATCAATGGGTAAACTAAATTTGAAGGCTACTGATTTTGAAAGTGAAAAATTTCAATGAAATGAATATCAGTTTTACAGTATGGATTCCAGATAGGAGCTCTGTATTCAAGAATAAACTTGACTAATAAAGAAGTTAAATAAATAAATAAATAAATAAAAAATAAATACAGACGTTTAAACGATCTAAGGTCTTCGAATTCTGATGAATGGCACTTAAAAATTCCCAAAACTTTCAATGATTATTTTACAATACACTCAGTATGATCACGGAAATTTAAATGACTGGTTAAAGTTATTCCTAAGTTTGTAATTGTTGAAACTGATCTAAGTTTAATATTATTTATAGAATACATATAAATTAATTGGTCAGAAGATCTGTAAAAACGCATTAAGTAACACTTAACAGTATTTAAAGCATTTAGGCACCCATTAATCACGACACCCATTACACAAAATATTTTATTCATCTTGTAGAACTAGACTACCCTCTAGCGAGGAACTATAAGTATAATTATAATAACTACATGCTTCGACCACTAGTTAAAAAAAAATAAATTTATTGAATCTTTAGCTTGGATGATTGGAAAGAATATCGAATTTCAGTTAATATTATAATCGAGATTAAATAAACTAAAAAAAAAGGTGGTTTGATTGTATAAATTATTTTAAATTCAATTAAAAAAATACCGAATAACGCTGACAATTTTAACTTGGCCAATTATTACCAATTTTATTTGTTACGTATGGCTTATATAATTTATACGAAACAGAAATATTATAAAATATGTTTCAGTAACCACCTGCGGGCTTGTATTACACGAGGCCACCATCGTAGATACTACGGTATAAATAATTATATTGTATTCTATGTATTCTCTCTTCTACAGCTGCAGGGACTACACGATTGGTTTACTAGTTACTACACGACTTTTACTTAAATTAAATTTCAGCAAATATATACGTGTTGTGTGTTTAATATTATAGTATTATACTGTGCATACATAATTTAATCGCTGATTTTCACGGATTAATTTATTATTAAAAACAAAACATAAAATATATTTTTAGGAAATCGAGACGAACGATGATTACAGCGTACCTTGTAACTGCGAAAAATATAATAAAATAATAATGGCATCGATAAACGGAATAAAGTCGACCTTTGCATATTTCGATGAACTGCACACCATTATAATATAATACAGGATGATTTATAAGTCTTCGTCCAATTTTAAAATTGCATATTCATTTTATAAATTAAGATTCAGTCGAGAAGCAAAACACTTTTCTTAAAATAATCAAGGTGTAACTCAATGTGTACAACAATTGTCAATATGACCCCACTGGCCACCTGGCACACACATATATATGGTATTTTTTTTTATTTGTCCATCTCAACAATAACTGGCGGCAGTTCGCCTATATTCATATAGAAATTCTCTCAAGGCATGTTCGTCAGAAATGAAAATAAAAAATACTTAATGAAAATACACTTGACCACCTTATTTTTACAGTGGTGTGTGTATAGGTTGTTTACCTGCAATAGCTTACTTTCACTATACATACTTTATAAATTCATAATCGGATGAAGGCTGTTGACTCACTCTGTACAACACGAGTAGTACGTCGAGTACTATTATAATACAAACTGATGTACACTCGCAGCAGTACACTAGTGTTTTAATATATTTTTTGAGTAGGGTAATGATGCGCAAAACTGCTCGCGGTATTCTGTAACAAAGTAATGGCTAGGAGGGACGTTTGCGACACAATTAGATATTATACGTACCAGACCTGGTTATATTATACATATATATTGAAGGAGAGCCATCGCTCGTGTACGTTACGAGAAGCAGTCCGGCGAATGAATGGGTTTTTATCGAACCCGTAGCGTTAAGCGCAGACATTACAATTCGTTTCGCCGGACCTTGAAAGTTCTCCGGCGAGTACTGGCTATTAAATATTATGACCGTCAATTTTGGTCGTTGTCAAAAAGTCTCGATGTGACGTGTGCTGAGGGTAGAAAGATCAAAATATGTGAACTCGTCAACCTCACTGAGTCGACAGAGCGAAGAAAACAAAAATATTTTAGATAGAGAAATCCCCAATAACGTATAACCATAGAGTGGCCACTTGTCCCGGTGTCCATAAAATATGGCTTGCGTTCATTTTCTGATTTAAAGAGGTGACCAAATTCGACTAGATTTTTAGAATGTTTATTTACTGTTGAAGTTAGTTATAATTTGCTAGACATCCTGTCTCGGAAAACTATTTAAAAAAAAAATTAGATAACTTGCTAAGTTTACTATGAGAGTGGATATTGTCAGGGATTGTTGTTAATGCCTTTTATTGTCAGGCAATAATTCATTTAGCAATATTTCCTAGGCAATTAAAATCAACCCTGTACTTTTCTACCAAAATTGATAAAAATGTTTATTGAATTTGCTTATTGAATTAAAAACGGGCATGCTTTGTGAAATTGATTTATCTATCACAGTTTTGAGTTATTTATGGCCGTGAGCATTCTCTATGGGATATATCTATATACCTAGTAGTAGGTAAACAATATACATTATAAATCTCAGAAATAGAAAACTTATTTGCAATAATATTTGTGCACGAGCACCGGAGCACGTCTATTAGCATGTTGCATAAGAGTATAACTTATAGTACCCATACTTATATAATTGACTGATTTTCTAGGGACTGTGAAGCATTGTATTAAATTTCTAACCCAATTAAAATATTTTGTTGAATACAAATATTAACATTGTCCCTGCCAGTAGTAGACATCTAGGCAATTTTCTAGTCATAATAATATTAAAATATGTGTGAATGAAATAATACAATATTAGATTTTTTCGACGTTGTCTATAATGTTGTATGTGTGTTAATGCCTAGGCATTGACAATATCGTATATTAAATACCAATGTTAGATATAAATGACGACGGCCTCGTGCAATTACGTGATTTTTTAAGTTGCATAAGTTCCATTATTGACGGGGTAACATTTATATTACATACCAATTGTTAAACATATTATATTATGACAAATTGTCAGGGCAATATTTTTCTTCTATTTTTTTTTGTGGTTATCGACTGGGGTCACGGGTCTATCGAATACCTACATCATCGTTCGGTTATTTAGTACACGTACTACCACAATTATTATAATGTTACGAATTTTTTACTTGCCTTCGATTACGAACACGCCACTGTTGTCGGTGCTGATGACCAGCCGGTTGTCAGCCCACGAGTCGCCGCACACGATGTCGTGGCCAAAATCCGGGTAGAAGCACTGCGGTTCCCAGGGCGCTCGCTTGAACAGCCCCGTGGTGGCCAGGCTGGTGGGTGCATCCCCTTTGACGATGGTGTCCAGCTTGAGGGCCTGGCCTATCCTCACGAACTCCACTTGCCGAGCCTCCTCTTTGCGCCTCGAGCTGCGTGGGGGGTCCGGCAGCACGTCACTGAATGCCCGTCTGTTCAACATTGCCTGCGACAAAAGCGTTTTCGTTACTACAAGTCTCCATATTTACAATGCGTGTTTGGGTGTGATCGTCACGAGATCTTTACGGCTTTCAAAACGCGGTATACAATAATACCTATGTATTTTTTCAACACGTTTATTTTAACGATTCAACACGCGCCGTGAAATACATATTTCGTCAAGGCGATAACTATAAAATATGTATCGTTCTACTTACGTACGTCCCTATCCTGCACGACCACCCCATACTATACCTGAGCCCGGGCATTTTCAATCCCTCGGGGGCATTAAAAAAAACGCCTTTGCGCCACCACTGCGTTTAACCCGTTTTATCAGCACACTGCAGTCGTCATTGCAGTGTTTCAAACGAAAACTTTTTTTTGTCATTAAAATAATATAATATTATTATATCTTATAATAGAGCGATTAAGATTATTTTCGAGGATTTCGAAACAAGGACAACGATATACGGTGTAAGATTTAACGAGCCAGTTGATGATTACCCTACCCATGTCATGTGATATATAACATATATATAATATATTATACTACCAATGGATACCAATGGATAGAATTGGGCTAAATTTTTTTTATCGAAATTGACATAAACGTAATGTTGCACTGTCGTTTCAGTTTGTTTAAAAGACATTTGGTAGACAATGTTATTGTTCTCAAAAACAAAAAGATTTTCGTATTTTGGTTTGAATATAATATATTGTATTGATCTTTTCGTATGTAGGTATTTTATCATCTCAACATCTTCGAAAATGTCGATACCTACCTTTAACCTTACCCGGAGCATAATGAAAAATCACCATTCCCATTAAAAATTACTAAGTTAATTAATACAATTTAAAAACAAAAAATAGTATTATAATTTTTTTAAATTATTTTCTGCTTCTAGATTTGTTGTATTAAATGTAAAAATGCGATGTAATGTTCTTAAGATTGCAAAAAAAAAAACACTATAAATAAATATTCATTATTTTGCAAAAGTTTCGTGAATCTTGTGGACAAATGTTATTTTTTGCAACAGCAGAATAAATTGTACTCAAAATGTATTCATATTTAAAAACCATTAACTTTGTTACATTCTTAACTTTTAACATATCGACGCAGCTAGTGAAAATCCAATAAATATAATACCTAATATCTTAGGTTCAAGTACATTCTACTAGTGATGGTACTTAATATATTATTATATGTCAATAGTTTTGATATATCTTAGTAATATACATATTACCATTACACACATCGGAGATATGAGTATATTAGTCGGTAGATAAGTACTTATTAGTTGTACATACTTTATGAAAGAAAGGTCTATATTTTTTTTCTAATTTTATGACAGTTGTATAATTTAATATTGTTATGAAAATCACTTGTCAATTAAATAATAATAATAATAATATACGAATGACGGTCAGAATAATGTACGTGTAAAATAATTATGGCTAGGTAGGTATTAAGACCAAATTAGTTCAGTATTTTTATGATGATGTAAATCAAATTGGTCAAATAAGTTGTTTTATAGTTATTTAAAAGTATCAAAGATATAGAGACGCAATTTTTTTTTTTAAAGCAATCTAAGTTCAAAATTTAACAAAACTTTGTTAAAATCATAATAATTTGTAACTAATTTTGTAGTCAACTTATAAAATGTTCAATTGCAGTTTAAGTTGGAAATTTCAATACAGGATTCTTCATAAATATTAGTCCATACTGAAACCAAAACCTACCATAATACTTTAAGTAAAATAAATGACTATAGTTAAAAACATTATATCACGAATTAAAAATATTATGCTTAGACACTAGTCACAAAGACTGACAGTTTGACAGAACATCTAACCTCAGAATAGTTTTTCGTGTTCAATGATATATTATTGAATTTAGATTTAACACATCTATTTAAGTGACCCACTCGAAGCCTGCAGTACTGCAGCTAGAGCGGTATCCACTTGCTCACCTTCTTTAGTCTATAATTTTTAAATATCTCTGTCGCCTAATAGAATTACGCACCAGCCAAAACAAAAATGTATAAAAGTTATTCATGGACCACAAGAAAATTTGACAGAGAGATGAAAAAAAAGTTACCAGGTAGTGGAAATTTTGCAAGCCCCGTCTCTGCGGTGTGTAATATAATACATCAGACGCCCCAACCTGAATCGAACAATATTATCATCATAATAACCACACTGTTCGTTCAGCATAGCGTGTGGTAAACCTACCTCTACGTAAATATAATATTATAATTTATAATATATAATAATATTATACCTGTATAATTATGTACCGTGTGCGTATCGCGTTGTCCTCGCCCGCACGATGTGTTCGTGGTCGGTCGTTCGGTTATCGTTACTACACCTACCTACATAATACTAAACATATTATTCTCCTCCACCGGTGCGTATTTATAGCCAAAGGCGAGACGGTCTCTACCCACGTCCCGTGAAAATTATACGATCGGCAGGAAAAACGCATCTAACGATATGACGCTCTATAGTGTGCCACCAACGGTGTCGGTGTAGAAATAATATTATTATTATCTCAACACCGGGTCCAACAAGGAAATAAAAATAAAATATTTTCAAAAAAAATCTGTCTTGGAGATTATTCCTATCACCTACGGTACAAAATTATTGTGTATTGTTATTAAAATATCTAAAATATTATAAGGCTGTTTATTATATTATACATGCGAACTCTCATTATAGTTTGGCCACCATAATTTGAATTTTTTACCTACCAGTGACCGCTATACGGACAATTTTAGTGACCAATCAACATTCCCAAAGTACTAGGCCCACATTATCATTACAAATTGGTTGGGTAGTAATAAAACCTTAGAATCGTGGATATAGTTAAAATGTTCAATTCGGTATGCCAGGCCGATGGACCCCAGCAGATTTTAACTGATCGAACATGGAGACTAATATTAAGCAATTGCGAAAAAAATTAAGTGTGTGACGTGTGTATTAGTTTTTGGTAAGTCGTGCGTGGTAAAATGTAATCACCACATTACTATACAAAGATGTAATTATCGCGGATAATGGTTCTCATAAGTAAGTAGATACTACACAGATGCAATTTACCAGCGCAAGCCTTAGAGTTCACTTCGACCAATCCGAAAACGAATCAAAACTTCACCTTTTTAGACACTTAAGGCGTTAAATAATTTCTTTCATTTGCTGTCGATATTTATTTTGGATCGGAATGAGTTCCACTAAACAAACGAAAAACTAACTAATTATTTTTGAATATTTATAATTTAAGTTTATAATAATAATAATATTATGAATTTAGGTTCTACCTCACTATATTGTGTACGTTTACGTAATGAAAATTGAAACACATAAAATACAATTGAATACATTTATTAAGTGCTGGAGTAGAGCATCAAATGTTTATTAATCCATATGAATAATATGGTGATATATTATTGATTAGATGGAACCAATAGATATAAGTAAATTGTGTCCAAACGACTTTTTTATGTTGACTGCGCTCGGATTATTATCTGGGTTAAAAAATTATAACATAAAAATGAATCCCATTTTTTTATCATCGGTAGAAAATGGGATCGTAAACTGAGCCAGAAACCAATATTTGAAAATTATAATTTAATAGTCAAAATTTAAAATTAGACAGTTAAGTGAATAAACATAAAATGGTTAAACGCAAATTAACAAAATATATAATATCAACGATATTATATTACATAACCTGTGCAATTTGCAATTTCATAATTTCACTTTTTTATAATGATCAATTAAAATAGACACTTTGTTATTATTTAAACAAGTGACCATCATGTATGCAAGTTGTACGTTCCTTTAATTTATCTTATTACCACATTATGGTGATAAACTGATAACAAACGAAGTGCAGTTTAAATGTTTAATATTGTTTTCACCTGTAATTGAGTGCAGATCACAACCATCGAGAAAAAGATATATTTTGCTCTGCACCTGTGATACGTAACCTATATTTGTACATGTATAGTGAATAATTGTACGTTAGCCACCTCCTAGCTAAATGAGTTATTCGTGACTACGCATACATGTCGTGAGTGTCAGTATTTTTCTCAATGTTAAGTCATGTCCTTATTAATTTATTTTCATTTAAGCTAATGGTGCTAAATTTGATTATATTTGTTGGGTAGCTATCGTTTGCCGAATAACGTAATTCAAACAGAGAACTTGAATGTCAAACCAGTCGGTTTTAATATTTATATTAACAATAAAAAAGTTTTTTTTAAATATTTATATTGACTAAACGAATAACACCTTAAAACCCTCACTCATAGACAGAAAAACAATTTAACAAGAGGATAACAATACCTTATAATCTGTCTTCGAATATAGTAAATTATAAATTAGGTACCCTTATCTGTAGCGTCTAAAGCCTATGGCGGGAGGCTGTAGACACCATAAAAGTGTCCATTTATGTTTGAACGCAGTCCTCATTGGTTTCAATAAAACTTAATATAACCCACATACCTATTATGAATTTACATAATTTACCTGGTACCATCACTGCAGTAAACGAATAATAATTGTATTAAAATAACGTAATACGTATTATTATATGTACACCTAAAATGTTTATTAATTGTATAAATATTGAACGCCGGAGCAACGCTCGTTCGTTAGCGATTTATTAGCTATGGCTAACTGTCGAAACGTTATACGAATTTTGCTGCGTCTATATATAAAATTCGGTGTTATTTCACCGTAGTGGTTATAATGAAAATATCTAATTTGACCGACCGAAATGTCGATAACGCTAGCGTAAAATAATATTACATCGCACGACCAGCAAACGCCGACGAGTGGTCCACTTTAAGTGCCCAAGCATAAAGGTGTAATCATCTCACCCCAAAATTGGATATATTTTTAACTATACTATCCTGGACGCTCAAAGCCAAAGCGTAGCAAAAAGCTTCCATCGCCTATATTATTGCAGTATCCCAGTATTATCACGAGATTGCACGGTCATTCAATTATTATTTTATTTATTTATACTTTTGTAACTCAAAATATTATAAGGCATTTTATCTAAAAATAAATTATTCTTCTGTAAGATTATCTGATGTTGTAAAGATGAATTTTCTAAAAAACAATACTCAGTAAAATACGTCTTTTGTATAAATAAATATATTATAATATGTACATAGTAATATCAATGGCTAAGTTGTTCGTCCAATTTTTCTCAAAATTGTTGGATTAGTCACCAGGTTAATCTGGGTAGTATTTTTCATTTGGAAAAACACTATAAATCGATATCGAAGTAAAAATATGTTTTTTTGTTATTTTAATTTTTCCGTTTTTAGAGTAAGATAAGTTTTTTAGTGTACACTTATAACAAGTTTTAATTAATGAAATAGACAATAAATATTTTATAGAGGTCTGAATATTAGGCGGACAAATACAACAAGTCCGGACTTGTTACTTTTGTCTAAAACAATTCAGTCAAACTCGAGTTTTTAATAAATCACCAACTTTTAATATGTCCATTAAAACTTTGTATGACTACGCTTAAAGTACATTATAATTGCCATTTATAACAAGTTCAATTTAAATTTATATAAATGGAATATTCATATCATCTATATTATAAAAAGATTCTTATATTTTTAGTATACCCAGAAATATTTTGTCGCCTGCAAAACTAAGAGTTTTATTTTTTGTGAGCTTGGTTCAATCTATTATTAGTTATTGTTTGTCTTTACGTAGAATATTGATGTAAATAAAATAAAAATTACATTGAATGGATTTTTGAAATTTACATTTTTCAGCAAAGGTTATAACCTAGTAATGATATTTTTAATGATTATTGGCTAATTTAGATACTTTAAATTACAAAAATGTATGGTACTGGTTATAAAAGCTCCTGTGGGACTGCAATATATAATGTAAAAACTGAAATGAATAAGTCTTAGCCTCCGCTTTTGTTTTGTTTTTGTTAAATTTGTGTTCGATCCAAAACTTCTTTATCTACTTTTAGTAATAATTATGTTCACCCTAAACACTACATATGACGGTGTAAAATTGTATGATTATATAACGTAATAATATTTATTGTTTTTTAATTGCGCTTTAGCTTCGGTGACGAGAGCTTTTAGCTGTATACATTATATTTCATTTATTTTTGGTAACAATTCGATTTCAATAATATGAGACTTCTAATTATTCGTTTGTAATAATATTATTATACTTATATTCGATACCTATATTTATTGTATAATATTTTTAGAATAGTATATTGTATGTGCCTATATATTTGTAGTTTATTTTTTGTTTTGTTCCCTTTCCCACATCACAGCTGTAGTGAGTAGACCAACTATGTAATTTTTGTGTGTAACTTTATTAAATAAAACTATTGGTGTTGGTTAATAAATAAATACATATACTCGTATAATAATAATTATACCGATTTGTACCGGCAATAAGACATTAGGACGTTATTTTTGGTTTCGAGAAGAGGGTGTAAATTGTATTAGTTTCGTAATGGTGTTAATTTATTTTAAAGTAGTAAACTTCTACAAAAATGTTCTCACGTAGTATCGATTTATTCCTGAACGTAGCATATAATAATAAGGTTAGATTCCTTTGTTTTAGCATGGTGAAAAAATCTACAGTAAAATGTTTATTTAATAACGCCTGGATCTTACATGATTGTGATTGTAATAACATTGTAGTTGCACGTATGTTTTAATTACAATTTGAAAATCAAAACTTAGAGATTTAATAGACATTTTTACTGAATGTACCAAAAAAATTCACTTGAAAATATTTTCTTTTACTATAAATCATAAACATTTATGGAGAAACAAATTCATTTTTTACTCCTCTCCGTGTATCTAAAAACTGTTTAGCTATCCAACAAAAGTGAAAGATACCCGGTATCTGATACCTGTAATATAACAATTAAAAGAAAAAAAAGTATGTAAGAAATCGATGGTTAATATTACTTGGTTTTAATTTATGAAAGTATAACGTATAATTAATACATGAAAAATAACACAAATGACACAGAAATGTTTATTAACTGTCGTATTTTACGAAACCGCAGTGTGAAAAAGTCGATTCAAAAGTTTAAAACGTTCGTTAAAATTAATTCGTTCGCACCAAAACCAGTATACCGATGGTTATATATCCGTAATCGGTCGGAAATAACTGTTATTTGTCCATTCCTCAGCTGCTGAAATAATCGGAAGTCTGTGCCGTTTACACGAAGACCTCGAAAAGCACACACGTGGCATGTACACTCGTATATCGATTGTCATATTATATTATACTCAATATTGAAGTATAAGTTATAACCTTTCACACGAGAACATAATATTTTATAGCACGTTTATCAAAAACTTACCACTTTACTAGAATCCGACATGTAGTCCGAGTACAGGTCTTTGATAAGCATGTCAAGTGTTCGTTCTCGTTTTTTTGCAAATGTGGGTGTATTGAAAGTTGCCTTCTCGCCGTTTATCACTGGAATGGAAAAAATAAAAATAAAATAAAAATTCACTGTTAATTGAATTTTTATTGCCACAACACCAGTAATTGCGACGAAATTGATAATTGTACCCTAAACGTAATTTCAATTTCCTATTGAATTAATTTTTAAAAGATTATATTATATAGGTAGAAACTTATATTTTTTTCACAAGAGATGTTCAATACTATACATTAAAATCAAACATGCACCAAAAACCAATATAATTTGTTTTACGTGTCAGCGTCAGCGTTATAGTATTTGCCGTATCGGCTTATATTTTTAAATCACCCAAGTGTGTTGATTTTATCGATAATAATAATGAAAAATTTCACATTGAAAAAAACTCAAGAAACCAAAACGATAACAATAAAAATGAATTTGATTGCATTTAAATATTTATAATAATTTTGGAATGACTTTTATAACATTTCGAATTCCTGTTAAGCACACAGTTTTCCAACTATCGATAAAAGTTCGGAATCTTACTTTATACAATGTCTGCCGTTAGAGAATATTGCGTGAGTTATTTTTTATTGTTTTACTTTTTTTATTTTTTGTAAATGTTGGTGTAGTGAGAATACACTTAACACATTATTTGCAGCTATTTTAATTTGTACATCATAATAACCATAATATATACAATATTATAGTAGGTGTTCGACAAAATTCAAGATAATTATTTTGAAAAGTTTTAATATTTTTTTAATAATAATTTCATTAACTTAAGGCATCTATTATAACTGCCAGTAATACTATTTGTGGTATCAAACAAATACTATCTATATATAATATTATTTATAAGTCTTGAATGTCGAAATATGACACAAGCATAGTATGGAATTTATAACCACGTAAAGTAAGTAAGTAATAATAAAAAAAAAAACTCAATAAATGTCTGAAGTTGTAATTTGTGTTTTGTAGTCTGAAGATAATAATACAATTTTATGGTTGTAAAATATTACTTATAAAATATCGTTACGTGTAAAAAAAATCTTAACGCTACAGTAGTTCATTGTACATTTTTTTATTTATCTTAATATTTGTATTTTAAATAACGTATTGGAACACGAAACTTATTCTCGACAAGTCATGCTGCAATTTGTACTAACATTTTTATACATACCAGCACGTTAGATTAACACGAAATTTTTTATCGTTTATATGCTTTTATGGTAATGATTTTAGATGGATTTGAATACATTAAGATAGGTAGATTTATATTCCCTAAGCAGTACAATCACCTATTTGAATATCATGTTCTCATCATGACTATACATTTAAGCGACGCGTATCTACCATAAATGTGTGCGAGAATAATTTGAAAATATTAAATAATGTTTAATTCTTAAATAAAAAAACAATTTGACTTAAAACACTACCTATTATAGTTATTGTATTAGGGGTATCCATAAGTAAGTTTCTCTAATGCCATGAAATATGTAAGAGAATGCTCCAAAATCGAAACCTTTTTTTACACATGCTGTCACTTTAGTTTTAAAGACATTTTTGGTAACGTGGGGCGATTTTCTTCAATTTCTATAGGTAATAGGATGTGTTGTTTCGTAGAACCAGTCAGTAACTTCGATGGCGACTTCATTTAACTTCTAAATGATTTTCTTCAAGGAAAGTTTTTCGTTTTTGAAAATATAAAACTAAATAAACGTTGAATTTTCCTCGTACCATACACTTTTCTTGGAGCACAGTTATTCAGGAGTGAAACGGTAGTCATTATTTATGTTACTGACTGGTTCTGCAGAAATGACTTACCCTTTACCTCGAGGGTTTGAAGAAACTTGTGCTACATTACAAAAAATGAATGTTAAAAAACAGTGATTACCTATGTAGAAAAATTGTTTGCATCCTTCAGCAGCTGTAAGTTAATAATTTATTTCAGTTTTTGATTTTTCTTGGCATAGTGAAATTTAGTTATTTATAGATAGGTATGTACGCCCTTCATAGTATGAATATAATATTAAACATTTTTTTATACTTAAATTATTTATTATGCAATGTAAAACGCTGTCAAAAGACAATGATCACTTACTTTTGACAATAAGAAATTCTCTGAATTCTTGAGGCACCTTAAAGACTGGAGGACACGGTAACGATGGGCCAAAGAGCGGTACAGATTCTTCGGAGTAAACTACTAGCTTATAGCTGTTGTCTGACGAATCGTACGCGACCAGCGCAAAAACATCTGATGCGAAAAGTTCATAGGAAAATCACTTTATATGTCATATGTGGTCGTGTATAAATCTCCATATATTGTGGGTTATTTTTCATACGAGTTACAAGGTACAAAGAGTTAAAAATGTGTATGAATTGGTATGAAATTATATTACATATTATTATTGAAATAATGTTTTTATTTAGTATACACTTATATATATTAAAAATAACATAATAATACGGTTTTATGATTTATGATTTTTTTGTTAATGTGCAGGTATTTTAACAACATGTAACATTTATTGTTATAATAATATACTTTTAATATTAATTGCGTACCTCTTGACCTCCGTTTTCTAAATATCTCCACCCTAGACGGTCGTCGTCACTAACATAATGATATAATTTTTCTTTAAAAATTCCTCTCCGGCTCTATTGGCTCTTCTTTCATCCTTGCACTTCTAAATATAAAATAACCAATTCGAAACAACAGCAATAATTTTTGTTTTGTTATTCCACACTGCCCAATCAATTACTTATTGAGGAATGAGCCTCTCACCGGGATGATGAGAATCGCCAATAAAGATCCGTCTTTCCTCTTCTACGCTAAATTCGTTTAATGTAATAACATTTCACTTACATTTTTGTTATGCTCTCATACTACGCCTCTTTGTATATTGGGCTCTCGCCCGTAATTATTACAAAACAAAATAAAATATTATTTATATTTCCAAAGGCACGGATCGTCAGCTTTATAGCGATTCAAGTTTTCAAAGGATACGTGTAAACTGTGACTTGATGAACGCGGGGTTGAACTGAGACATTTGCGTCGCACCCCCGTCTACGTACACAATGTTGACGATGTCGTTCCCAATGTGACGTTTGCGTTCCACCTGTTCAAATTGACGGGACGACAACCATTATAATAATATTATTATTATTATTATTATAACATACGGGGTGGTGTGTATAGTGTTTGTTTCTTATAAATAAACTATGCATTTTTTTTTTGTTTTGTTCTGTTTCGTTTTTCCTTCACGCTCGTTCGGTTATCGTGATATAGGTACCATAATATTATATTATTATGTTTACCTGCTGTCGGTTGTCCTTTGAATACGGCAACATTGTGGACACGTGAAACATGATTTCGTGCCCTTCGTATATCGTGTACGCCGAATATTCGCCCGTCATGTCGCCTGCGCATAAAATAATTATATACAATATATTGTAATAGCGCAGTGTAGGTAAGTATACGCAGGGGAAACGACAGTAAACAAAAAACTAGAAATTATTTTGGTCTTCGCTGGTGGGTTAGACATAGGTGTATGTTTTTTAGGTATTAATGTATTATGTATAATACTTGCGAAAAACACACTCACAGGTGGTATCTCGCACACTTACCTTTTACGTCCAATCCTCCTCGGTACTTGTCCCATCCTTTCAGTCGTACACGGTTGCCCAATAACGATACGAATTGATTGAATTCCTCACTGCCGTTTTCTACGAAACAAAATGTGATTAAATTATACACATAATTTTTTACTCAATATGTACTGGTTAATGTATACAGGCAATACAATATTATGATTACGATTTTCATTTCGCATTTAAGGTGGTGCAGGAAAGCTATACAATATTCAACGGAAATGTAGCAGGAAAACTATACAATACCAATATATCAAAATATAGGCAATATCAAGCCTAGAAACTATACAATCATTGAATTTTAGATTCTGAGTGGAACGATGAATGTATTGATTTTACAATGATGTGTGTTTTTTTATTTATTTATTTATTTATTTTTATTATTTTTTTTGTGTCTGTCATCACCTTTTAGGACAGTAAAACTGCTTCGATTTTCTTCAACAACAACTTTTCTGATTGGAAAGTGAATCTAGTTGGTACTTTGGGGGTCAAAAGTAAAAATTTCTTTGTAGTTTTCAAAAGCGACGTGAAAAACAAAAGAAAAATTATGGAAAAATGGGAATTTTTGCGCAAAATCGATTTTGGTTTTTGGTGTAACTCTTAAACAAATGGCCGTAGATATATGAAATTTTCACAGGTTGTTTATATTTGCATTTTCTATACAAGGTAAAATTTTGAAAATAATTTGACTCTTTTTGAACTGTTTACGGACGTTGTCAGTTTTCAATTTTCTTAGTTTTTTTTTCTATAAATACCAATAAAATTTTATTTGTTGGGCGAAAAAGCTTGAAAATTTAATACAAGGCTCCTAATATATTTTTACAATAGCAATTGTAAAATATTTAAAATACATAGGCATAATTTTTTTTTATAAGCATTTAAAATTCGAATTTTGACTCAGATATATTTTGGTATTAATAAGTCTTAAACCAAGGCTGACATACCGTCTCCACTCAGAATCGTTTTTCTTATAAAATGATATTGTATCATTGAATTCAAATTTAATTCCATCCATTATACAGTGACCCACTTGTAACCTACTGTACAGCAGAGCGACTTACCCGCTTTTTTTTTTTTTTAAATTTATTTGGAAAATATACAATCCGTAAGGTTAGTTTACAATATGCATATATGCGGTGTTTATGTGTTTTTACGTGAGTTTGCATGAGTTAAAGGAACTACCCAAAAGTAGTAGGTGCTTATGGCGTGGCCACTGAATTTAATTAATTCACTATCATCGTAAATCTATAAAAAACATGTCAGTTGGGCGAATTGTAACATTTCAAATAATGCAGGTTCTTTCTCTCTACCTCCGCACAAAGTAGAAATGAATTTAAAAAAAAAACATTCAAATTATATACCCGAACAAATTGTTGGGCCTAAATGAACGTGAATATGTGCTACGTATGCATAAATTCGTTTGAGTTACATATTTTATTAATTTATCATTAACTCGTACATTTCTACTCTCAGTCATCAATGTTTTTCTAAATTGTTTTTGGCTAACAGATAAAAGATAAACTTACGATCAAATTTTAGCCTGCTGGTAGCGTTTACTTTGCTTACGCAGAGCCTCATTTAGGCGAGCACCTGGATGGCTCATAACCTGACCTCCAATTTTCAGAACCTTAATGTTTGCATAATTTTAGTTTTATTTTTTGTTCTATGAGTTCATTAAAAATTGTTGTTGCTTCAACGTCTCCAGCTCTAAAATCTGTAAATCATCAGGTTTTGGGTGTACGAATAACTAAACTAATAATTACTATTAAGTTTAAAATATATTATATAGTTTTATTTATATACAATGATTTGTGTCACAGTGATGAAATTATATAGAAGCTGTTTTTTTTTTTTATCAAAATTTAAAATATAAATGAAAAGTAAAGTGGAGTATATGATAAGCAGCCGAGTATTAAGCAAACTTTAGAGAGTTGTAGATCTTACTTTATTTGTATGATGAAATAATAATTATAACACGTGTATTATCAAAATAAAAATATATTTTGAATATTTTGGAATTTGATACACTATTAGAACATTACACTGCATTGTCATACACACACACAAACGTATGGATGGAAATGATTTCATTTCATTGAATTTTCATTATCTCTCTATACATACACTTAAATACACTGTTTGTGATATTGAATACATAATCCTCAGGAGAAATGTTTCATGATGATATTAAAATATTACCATCAAAGATCTTATCAAAATGCGCCGTTTTGAGTTTTCATAAAATGTATGATACTCATTCGTGTATGTATAATATACGTATGAATAAAGTATGAAAATTAAACATTAATTTTAATAAATTACGTTAAAATATGTTCATCGAGTTTCAATGTTAATGTACAAACGTTGTATAATCGGTTTGTAGAATAATAATGTATATTTTATATATCATGTCCGCGAGTGTTATTATAATATGAGAAGTTCGCACTATAAATTATACCACTCAAAATAAACAATATTTGCGCATATAGGTACGTGTATCATTTTAATATTAACGATAAAAATGTGCAATATTGGAATACAAAATATACAGTGTATTAAAATAACTTTTTCATCGTAGAGCTATTGTATTGGTACTTGCTGACCGTGATAAAAACGAGTAGTATAGTATAGTTTGTAGGTAACAATTATAATGATGAAGTTTTTCTCTGTATTTTTGTTTTATTGACACTTGAATACGAGTTTCATTTATGCTGCAGAGAAAATACCAATGACGCGACGTTTGAATTTCAATGGATATTTTTACGAATGTTTAGGGGTGAACATGGTCGAGTACACAATCACAGAAGGGTTAACGACACAAAAACGAACGAATATCATTCAAAAGTACTTTTAAAGGGTGAAAATAACGTGCGTATAATATATATATAAAGAGGATCAAAAATCTCACGACTTTGAGGGTATGAATTTATTACAAGAAAGTGTCTGTTTCCACTTTTCAACTGCAAATCCGAGATTTTATTTTTAAAAATTGTTTTTCTCTATAATATTAACTTTAGACAAATAACTATCAAATCGAATTTCGTATACCTCTAGTGTCAGAATGTATTAGTCACTCTACCGAAAGTTGATATTATCTATTTATCTTTAATCAACCAACCTATGTCGTTTCGATTACTTTTGATAGTTATCTGTGCCGAAACAGTATATAGCTAGATGAGATTTAGAAGTTTCCAAAATAAATGATAATATTTAATATTGATTTTTTATCAACAATTATAAGAAAAATAACGATTACCTTTATTTAACGCAAACCAAGGTATACTCATGAGTTTTTAAATATAATATAGGACGTTGGTGCTGTATAACACAATAATGCACGAGGAGGATAAAAGAATTTTGTTTTTTTGCATAAGGAAAAAAATCTTTCATAAGACATATTATGTATACAAAGGTTATAAATAAACATTTGTATTAAGATATTGTTCAAAAAAAATACATTCTTTACTCAAACGTTTCACTTTTTTCAATATTATATTATTATATCAATACCTATATATAAGAAAAATGTGCTAATTAATATGCTGTAGCCATTATAAGTTCTGTATTCTGACGAACTATTATGTTATGTTCACATAACAATGAAAATATGATATTAACTCAAAGCATAGGAAACCTCATATTTGAAAGCAAAATATGGTGTTGAAATCACGTACCGCAATTCACTCGTAATAGTTCCTTTGTAAGTACCGTTAGAAATGCATATATCTCAAACAATATAATATGTTACAATTTTAACTGATTATAATATTATGTATGGTTTAATAATGGATTATTCTTAAGTGCAATAAACACTTTCAGATATATTCCATTTAAGCACCATAAATGATTTTCCTGAAAACCCAGTTACTTATAAATTAAATTAATTTAACTCCATATAATTATTTCCGTTTTGATGTCATTATATAACAAATCAACATGTACGGAATCTAGGATTATGAAATATTCAATCTTAGGTACATACCCAATCATATAATACACTATATAAATAATTAAACAAATAATAAATCGATTTAAATTATTAAGTTTTAAAATTATACAAGACTGTTTTATCGAGAATTCCAATAAAATGGTGGTCAATAGAATATTTTCAAGGTTGGAAGTACTTGGAACGTTGGTATCACTACAACAATTCACAAGCAAAATGAGAAGGTATCAGTTTTTTTAGCTTATACAAAAAAGTGAAAAAGTGTATACAAGTATAAAAATAAATGTTTTATTTTATGAGATCGTAAAAATGATTATTTTTGAATGTTGAAAAAAATAGGGAAAATAAACGATGTTAAGTTACATTAGGTACCTGTATGTTTTTATATTCCACAAAGCTTTGTCAGTTTGGACTTTCAAAAATATTTTTTGTACAAACTACCTTTTACAATCGACCGACGTTTTTGCTTATTAGAGCGTATTATACTTGTTGAGTGGATAGTCGCTACAATGTATACATCGCATTGAAATATCATGACTCGTAATACTTTAAAAAAAAATATATTTAGACGTTTGATTAACAATATATATTATATGCCTCTATTTTTAAAATTTTTTATTTTCAATTCTTGTTAAAGTTGATTTTTTTTTTAAATATCTTTGAATACGTTGCTGTATGAGCTCTGAGGTACCTATTTTTGTAATTTTTAAATTTTTACTATTAAACGAGTTAAACAGGTCTACGAGCTTAAAATGAAGTGTCCCGTGAGAATATACCCATTAGCCGTTGAGGGTACTCGCCGTTCAGACAAAAATTGGTTTTTTGGAGTTTTACCTAAGAACTAAAAAAAAGATTAAAAATCACGAAATTAATGAAAATAAAATGTTGAAAGGTCAACATTTTTAGAATAATAAACTCTACAATGTTGATGTCTTCAATTTTTTAAAAAATAAAAAAATGAAAAAATATTTTTTAACTTTTTCACCAAAAAAATGTAATTAAATTAAAAAATAAAATGTGTACGTTTATTTAGTCTGTGGCCTCTGTGATTCTAATAAAAAAAAACAGATTTGTAGTACATTCATTATCTTTAGAGATATCGCAATGGGTAAATATTTGCGGGACACCCAATGTCTAATCATCCAACATTTTAAAACGTAGGTACAAGGCCTATTTAAAATTTCTTATACTTCTTTACATTTAACTTGGTGTGCATAAAAAATTAAAAAATACATTTATAGAGAAATTGATATTAATGTTCTTGGAAAATAAGCATTCAGACATCTATATTATAATAGTTTATAGTAGGAATAACTACTACGTACTTTAGCTGAATCACTAAACGCCGAGTTAGTCTAAGATATTATAATTATGTACGGCGATATCTTAGGAATAAATTACTGTAAAAAACTTAATTAATTCAATGAATATTAAGTCTGCTTAATCGGAACCAAAATAGGATTGAAGTGTCCGAAATTAATCGTCCTATTTTATACATTTTGGTACAAAAACAATCGCCTCGAAGGCCGAGCCTTAAATTCGATAACGATAAGGGTACGATGTGTCATATGACGAAAATGGTATAAAACAAAGGTCAGAATGGATGATGGAAGAAAAGGTCAAGAGGAAGACTCCGAAGCAGATGGTTGGACAACTTAGGTCTATATATGAATATGTGAAGAGGCATAGTCCGTGGCCGATGGACTGAGTGAGACGCAGCATGTCATACAGAAAGAAGGCATGTGCGTTGATGGTTTTGTGGGCGGAAAGCCTATAAATAGCCCGCGAAGCGTGAAACAAAGTTTTCCCGAGAAAACACACAGCACATAATATTATTATGATATAAAACCAAAAAAACTTTTCACTCAACTTGGAACATAAATTTCTTTGATATTTTACTATATTACATTACACGTACATATACATTATGTGTTATCATACATATTTTAATCTCAAGTTACACATTTTCTCAATCATTTGTTTCGTGGAATTATGTTCAGAAATTAGATAAGTACACAATATTATAGTTTGTCAAATGCAACTGTGAAATTATTGTTTTCCACAGTCATATTATATGTATCACCAACAGTAGATTCGTAAAAAAATGTATAAACATACATTTTGTCGGATCAATTGGTTAGTCGTGTGTACGAACTTAATCAGTGGCATATTGTTTATTGATCCATCTATTAATAAAATATTCATACTATTTGAGAGCACTAGCCATTAATTTATAATATATTATTTTAGGTAAGATATATAGATATATATACATAGATTATTGTTTTATTTTCTTGAAGACAGCCTACATCACTGCGAGATGTTGTTACGTATCCCTCATGCTGTTTTCATATACGAGTAGTATGCACAGTTCTTGTCTAGTAATTTAAGATTTATGAGTATACCTTATGGAAGATATCGGTTAATAATCTGTTTAAGAGTGAACCTATTTATTCACTTTCAGAGGTCAGGAAAATATATCATTATTGGAAAATAATAATGTTTTTAGAAATCATCTAGTTTGAAATATTACTATAAATTATGAAATTATAAATAGTTGATTTTTTTTTTTTTATATTTAAATTTATCATAAACTGAAAAACCCAATTATTATTATATTGAAAAGTAAAAAAAATTACAAGTCAATTATTATTTTTAGCTGTCGACGTGAATAGAAACTTTTTAAAAAATATATACAATATTATGCATAATATAGTTGTTCGAAAATAACTTGGGACCGACACACGTGTATCAAGTCCATTAAAAGTTTACAACGAGCTTATAACGAGTCCATATGCAGAATCTACATAATAATGTATTCTATATGTAGGTATATGTTCGTACGTTAATGTATATAATATTTCCACAATGTTATTGAAAAAACATATGTAAAATATCACACGTATTAGACAGGTAGACGAAGTGTGTCAATAAGTAGTGTGGCGAAAAAATAACTTACAATATGACACATTTCATTTCGCAGTCAAATAAATTTATTTTTATTATTTCTTATATTTCTTATTTTTATTTAAACTGTCAAAATCTTAACAATAATTGCAAATCATAACATTTTTTAATAATATTACCCTTTTTTTTATAGTTTATATTCAATAGATTTTCAGAACAGGCATTTTTATACACGAGGTGGTATTATTTTTAAAGTTTTGATCACAAAAGTCGTTCGGTCGTATATGGAAACAGAGATAATAAACTTTTTCGTATCATGGCTACCCCACACATGTCTAAACTGTAAATCACTAATAATTAATGATAACGGTTTGTTCGATAGTAGTTCTATGTTTACATCAGATTTAAAAAAATCACGTTTACGCAAATAATAAATTAAATGTAAGCTCCAACTAGAATACTTCTAAACAGATTCAGCAGCCACAACATACCTCTTGCCATCAATAAAATATATAAAAATATCAGACCTAATGAACATCAAACCACTCATATTTAATAACAATACCTTCCGGTCATCCCCTCCTTGGAAATGGAACATAAAACTCAATACTCAACTACTTGAATTCAACAAAGATCTTTTTCCAAGCTCAATTATAAAAGAAACTTTGAAAAAATAATTGAAGAAAAATACCATCACCACATAAAAATATTTACGGACGCATTGAAATCTCTTAGTGGTGCTGGATTCGCCTTTGTAGAAAATAATAAAACCTCAATGTTCAAAACTCCGCCTGAAACCAACATTTTCTGTGCCAAGCAATCGAAAAAGCAATCTCACACGAAGTGAATTTAGACCCGGATTGGACACTTTTGTTTAACACACCTGTATCCTATAGCCAAAGAAGAACGTCTGACCTGCGAACTATGTGACATACTATTGACCATCAAACACTTTGTACTTGAATGCCCTAAGTTTAACAGCGAATTCTTTTTAACGTCTAACAGATTCACATATTCTACAGTTTAACGAATTCTCGGGAATCCTCTCACTGTGAGACAATCACACTGAGAAGAAAACTCGAGAAATATCTTCTCTTTTTGCACGGAACATATACCCAGATGGCAAATTTGTATTGATAACATATTGATAAAATAATTGTTTTAAATATACATTAATTGTAATACTATTTTTTTAACATATAATTATAATGTTTTTTTATTGTGTAAATATTGTAAGAAAGACCCGTTACCAATCATAATATAACAATGATGTATTCAAATGCCTCCGATGGTTATAACTATTGTCATAATACAATTATTTGAAACCATGTGGATATAGCGTCATTATAGCTGTGGTTAAAAGTTTGTTGATATAGCAAATCCTCAAAAATTTTAACAATTTTGGAACCGAAATGTGTGTTATGAAAATTTAGATTTTTTGACTCAGATTTATACATTTTATATGTACAGATAGGATAGGGATACAATATGATACAACAAGTTAAAAGTAAAATTTGTATAATTAATAATTCTATTTGAATAGATATCCCTAAAACTCGGTTTTCTAAAAAAAATTTAAAAATACAGTCCATATATATACCTATAGGTGGAAATTGTTACTTATAATTTTTAAAGTATTAAGATCCACGTCTAATAATAATAATATTATAAGAAAAAATAAATCATTTTTGATTATTCGACATAAAATATAAACAATTATAATGTACATTATCTGCCAGAAACTCAACCTGTCCAGTGTCCATATATTATAAATTATAATATTATATAATATTATTTTATTATGTTCTCAATAGTTATAGAAGTAAGTTGTCTCAATATTTTGACTTGATGTTTCTTCAAATATTTTATTGTCTATTTAATTAATACATTGCCATAAGCATCTACCAGAACATATGTTATCAATAATATATAGAAATACGTTGTCTCAATATTTTTTACTAGATGTTCTTTAAAATATTTTAATCTCCAATAAATAAGCTCATAGTTACAATGTTGACAAAAACATAATATGTTATCAATCGTTTAAAAAGAACGTTGTCAACATATATTTTATTGATGTTTCCTTCAATATTTTCTTCAGTACTTGAAAAACATCGTATTATAATACGTTTAAATTATTATTTTTAAATATATTTTTATTAATATAATAAAAACATTGTCAAAATGTGTTTAAACAAAATATTTCCAAAAACACAAGGAAAACATATTATGTCTACAATATAAATATTTTTAAATTGCTATCTGGGTAAGTCTATAAAAATTACTGTTAGAAAATTTATATTATAAATTTCTTTCAAATGTTCCATAAAGTTCAAACCCCCATAGAATTAAGCTTATTGTAAATTCAGATAAAATAATGGGATTATATGAATAACTTTCAGGCTACTGACCTAATGACTTCAGATTAAGCTTTATTAACTGAATAAAAAAAATAGTTCAATGTGATGGCAATAAAATAATAATATGTAAACCAACAACGAAAACAGTCAATTTAAAAAGTCAGTAATAATTTTTCAGCCTTCTACAAAGAGCACAAATAAATATTAAACGAGCCCAAGACGACACTACATTTGTTGAAATCAAAACCTTTGATGTTAAAGTGATGTGGTGTCGTGTATATTTGGTCAATTTCATTTTATGATCGAAATGGACGAAAAAAAAATGAAATACCTGTTGCATTACAATGGTGTAGCTAAATTGCTTATCTAAGACGCCGTGTTACAATAATTGTATTTTACAATTAAAAAAATCAGTCTTTTGCGGTGGGTTCTGGAAAAATGGCTTAAATGGGGATACCAACTTTAGGCCGAAATGTTTTATTTTAAGAGAGCTTAAGTTATTTAAAATTATCAGACACTTACCGTTGCTCAACATCTCGTCGTCGGTCAATTGGCTAGGTTTGGTGTACAGTACGCCGAATTTGAAATTCACCGATCCTTCTTGCTCTTCCAAAAGCAACAAATCCTACAAGCATAATAATTTCAAAGGTCATAGATTTTTTAACATTTCACGAATCATTTGCAATATGCTTACCTTTTGAATTTCCGGGGAAAATATTTCTTTTGGACCTTTTTCTAACTTATCCATAGCTGGAAAATTACTGTAACCACAAAATACATAATAATATTAATAATACGTATATTTATAACCACCATTTTTAACGCTTATGCATAATATTTATTTGTCGATTAGCGGTTTCATAATTTCATATTTCATATTACTTAATTTTAATGTTTAACACTTCATAGTAAGATTTTATATATTCTGTCAAAGTGGTTACCAATCTTATTTTTTCGTGGTGCACCAGAATTATCCATCGAAAGATTCGACACACTATCGATACATTTTGCACTTCCCAATAACAAGTACTTCTATCAAACTCAGATAAAAGTTAAGTTATTGATAATGATTATTAAGAGGTGGTTACAGATAAATTTGTTCATTTATTTTTAGAGTTTCTAAGACGACTCGTTTCTAATTCAAACCACGCTTCAATAACACTTGAATCTAAATTTTTAATTTTTTGGCATTTTAATTTATATTTAACTACTTGAAAAAAATCAATATTTTTCATTATAGTATTTTTAGTGTATGTCAGGCGTACCTTATGGACTTTTGTTCTAGTAATTGAGAACAATGGCATGAAACATGACGTGTTTGCGTATAGTAAGTTGAACTTTTTTTGAGTGTCAAGACATCAGAGATATATCATTCGAAATACTTGAAGAAAGTTACTATTTCTTATATTATATTAAATACATGATATACCTACCGACGGGAATTAATTAGCAATGACATTGTAGATTATGAAAATATGTGTTAAAAATACCTATTTTAATTTTGGATTAATGGATCTAATTACGAGGTATGAATTTGCAGGTATGATAAGCACACAAGTTGCGTCCTGTAAAAAAGGTATACATGAATTATGTCCCAAAAAATCCAGGACGCAATTTGTGTATTTTATTCGATGGTTCTTAAACAAGTAACAACTAACAATGAAATAATTAATAAATAAATAGATAACTATAAATATAATCATAAGTCAATCAAAAATGTGTTCATTAAATGTCATAAAAAAGTAAATAAACATTAATTCCTTATGAAAATTAATTGATTATTCAATCAATAAAGTCCATAATATAATAAATAAAATAAAATAATAATAATAATAATGATGTCAATCAAAATGTCAGTAAAACATTTGGTTCATCCTTAAAAGATAACCTTTTTTTAAAATAACTAACCTTGTTATTTTATTTTCATTTACAGATAATATAGTATAGGTAGAATATAGGTCGTGTTTTTATTGTTCATGATGACGATAAACCAACTTGCTTATTATTCCAGGTATCGGTGACAAAATCCATCCATTATCAAAATGTATAATATTATTCACGTAATATAATATATCGAAACATAATGTCAGAGCCCCAACCTCCCTTATAATTATCACACTACCAAGAGTCTCTGAAAAGAAAAAACAAATCTACTACTTAACCAATATTATTGTGAGACTCCATTTGTGTATACATTTTTTATGGGACGCAATGACTAAGGTGCCTCGTTTGAAAATAGGCTGTGGTCCACGGAGCTGACCTAACCAACCTTGAGATTTTCCTCGACTGTAATTTCATAAAAATTGACCAGTAGGTTGGTTCACAATGTGCATTTTGTATTGAAGGTATTTTAAAGATATGCTACAAGACCTATGCACAATGTCATCGTATTTCGTAAATGTACATCATCTTGCTGTAATTTATTAAAAATATGAGATTTCGGTATTCAATAAAAAGCTTGAAAATACAATTTTTTTTACTTTTGTGAGTGTTACTAACTTATTACAGATTTTCCCGTTTCTCTGGAAGACCCTGTTTAACCGTTATATATTAAATCATAGCACTAATCTTGGCTGCTGTGGTAGCTTGTGGGAGTATAAGAAAATGAATAAAAAATGCCCAAAGTTCGATTATTTTTCAAATAAATTATTTTTACATTTTCGTTTTCAATTATATATAGTACACACGTCATCGGTATAGATGGTGTATTTTAATTTTCTTAAGCTAATTGTCGAAAAAATAGAATCGAAAAAGTACAGTGAAGTATTGAGAATAACTTAATAACATCGATAGCTGCACCTGTATACATATTATACGGTATTATATTTCCACGCGTTGTGGCTATTATAATATACAGATAATACTCGTATGAAACCATATTAATAAAATGATTGGGGTTAAAACTTTCAAGCTATAGAAGTTACAAAAACGATAAAATATAAAAATCAATGAAATAACTAAAAATTATATTTTATGCGGGTTAAAATAGTAAAGACTTCACAATTCAAAAATCGTAAAATTCCACAATATTCAATTCTATGATAATGTTTGTTTTATATTTTTATCACATTCATTTTATTTGTTCATTAGTGGTCTAATAAAAATGTCCGATACCATTAGTGCCAAATATAATATATAGGTTCTATGCCATTATAGGTATTTTTTAAATCATTAAAAAAAATGCTCTGCAAGTTGAAAAAAAATTATGCAAAATAAAAATTGCTCCAATCAGTGTGAAATGAAGCATTTTTATCTTGCGTAGCAATATTTTAACTCGTTAGAAAATCAAAATCAAAAGAAATATATGTATATATACAAATAATAAAATAGAATTCCAATCCTGAATAACTATTATCATGGCATTAGCATGGATTCCAAACGGGGTCTTTTAAATCTCGTGCCACATAATTGACGATGATCATACTGAGGACTAAATATATCACGGTGCGTATAAACAATAAAATAATAATTTGATATCTATACAGACGGACTTCTACGTTGGAACATTACATTATCACACACACATATACACACACACAAATAAGTGCTTTTGAGAGCTCGTCGACACCGGCCGATCGATCAACAAGTCGACGTCCGTTTATCGTTCGCGTAATCCGTCTTGGCGTTTGCCGCGTACTCGGTCGGTTTCCAGACCGGGTGGCGTGTCGTACGGGAAATTCAACCCCAACACGGTGGACAGGGTTGAAACAATCCATTAATACACCCCGAAGAGTCGTAAAAAAAAATATTACATCCAACGTCGTTTTATACGACAGGCGGTGACGTGGGCCGGTAATGTTATATTATTGTACATTATAATATATAAATATTATCATGCATACACGGTGTGTGTTTGAACACTACACGATGATACAAAAATGATAGGTTATTATGATAGGGTACATTATTATTACTATTATTATCATCGAGATATTTTTTATTCCCAGCTCGATTTTCATTTTGAAATAAAATATTTAATTTCATCACAACAAGTCATATCGATAGAAACATATTTTCAAAATTATTTCGTATCACACACGGAATTGAAATATTTGCGATAAAACATATTTCATTTGTCAAATGACTCAACTCAACTATGTGAAATGCGGATTGATATAGTTACAATAATAATATTATGATATCGAAAAATAAAAATAGAAACACCAAAATATTACCTATGCAATTTTAAGTTATTTTTTGTATGGATTACACTAAAAAGTGTCTTAAATCCGTTTTGTAATTGGATATTTATGATGCACAACAGGTGTTGATGGCTAACGATAACCCATTGCTTTGTGCTTACATACCTACCGTGGTAAATGTCATCATCAGATTTTAATTTTTCCTTCTCTTCATCTATTTCTATTCCACTCTCTGTCTCAATAATGTCATATTAGGTTTCAACGACAACGCTTTATTCGTGAAATTATATAATAATATTTAATAACTTTGCAGTCTCGGGTCACGATGAGATTATAAAATAATAACACAATGGACGACATCGGGTATAATAGTCGGGATTTCTTCTTACCTGTTGTCTCATATATATATGCCTAACCCCTGCCTATATCGTAATATTACACTTATTATATTCTCCACTAAAAACACGTCTCTTACTATGTTTCAAAAGTATTAACATTGTTTAACATCATGCCGGGTTTTCATGGTAATCGCTGTGATAATAAGGAGAAACCACTGAGAGAGGGAAACGTATATTTTATACGTATTCTATAATAACATATTATATGATGTATTCATAGACCTTATACTCTTATACCTAGTATAAGGTCTATGGATGTATTAAAGTATTGTTGTTGTAGAAAAAAACTTTGTCCACACGTTGCCGCGGCAACGAATCTGAATTTCACGAAGACAATACTTTGGCGTGAAACTGTCAGATATCACATAAATATTTTATAACCTTTTAATCCTATTTGGATAGAATGAACTAATCATTATACTGACATTAATTAAGAAGACACTTAAAAAAGAATAATAAGTAAATTAAAGTAGGTATTAAAATAGCACAATATTTATAATTATACAAACTAGATTTTTGTACACTTACTAATGTTCTAAGACGGTTAACTACAGTATTATTACCTATTATATAAGACCTATTTAAAGTACGAGCTTAAGTCCAAATTAATTATAATTATACATAGAGTAAGAATATATGGAGATACCAATTATAGGCCTTATGGTAGATACTCCATGCAATAATTTTGAATAGATAAGAATTAGTCTGCCATCTAGTAGTTTTATTTACCTATGTGATGACATAAGATCAGATGGCTTGAAATGGTGGTCAAGTTGCCGACCGGACTCCGTTTTAATGTAAATATTATGGCTGCTCGCAAAGATACTTGTTTCGACAATTTTTCCTTGGCTCGTCAGATTTTTCAATGCCGAGATATTCAGCTGACGTCAATAATATGTCTTACAAGATTTAAAAAAAAGTAGAATATGCCATCATTCAATTATGTATGTGATTTGTATCCAATTTCATATCAATGATAATAATTGTTCGTCATACATGGGTGGGAACCATATTATATACGTAGAGTGACGTTATAGTGATAGGTAATATATTTAGAGTGCACCTAGGTCGATAATAATTCGCTTGGTATACCAGCATTTTAAAACAACACTTATATTTTGTTCTTTTTAAAGTATGATATTTGTAGTATATAATTATCAATTATTATACTCCGATTTATCCTATTGACTGTATACAATATTCCCTAGTATTTTTATTTTG